TATAAGTTGCAGAAAGAGTTACCGCTTTAGCCGCGAATTTAAGGGATCAGATCAAAGCAAAATCATCTAGTTTTGAAAGTTTCTCCATTGCCTGTGACAAGAGCACGGACATTAGTGGCAAAGCTCAATTAGCAGTGTTTCTTCGTTCTTGTGGCAAGAACTTTAACATTTTTGAGGAATTACTGGAACTAATACCGATGCCTGGTACTACCACAGGAGAAGATATATTTACTTGTGTTTTTGGACTTCTGCAGAAATACAATCTACCTTTGGCAAAATTAAATTCTGTCGCTGCAGATGGCACTCCATCAATGACCGGGAAAAACAAGGGCTTCGTAGCATTACTAAAGAAAAAACTTAATGAAATTCACGGTTCAAACATTCATCATATGCATTGTATTATTATACATCAAGAAGTTCTATGCACGAAAGTAATAAATATGGAGAATGTTTTGTCATATATAAAAAAAAGTTATAAATTTTATAAGATCTCGAGGTTTAAATCAGCGTCAATTCACTGCTTTCTTAAATGAGTTAGATAGTGAATAATTGGGTTTGTCCTACTATACCGAGGTACAATGGTTATCTTGCTCCAAGATTCTCAAACAATTTTGGGATTTGAAAGAAGAAATGTGTCAGTTTTCAAAAACGAAAAATCAAGACGTAAGTTTGTTTTACGATCCAATATGGATACAAGATTTATCTTTCTTGATTGATATAACCAAACACTTAACCGATTTAAATTTATCGTTACAAGGAAAAGATCATATCATTACGAACACGTTTGACATAATTAAAGCATTCAAATGTCAACTAGTTCTTTGGGAAAAACAACTTAAAAATGAAGATTTGACGCACTTCCCGAAGTGCAGCATGAACAAATCAAGTTTAGATGATACTTGTTTGTATCAAAAATACACAGAAAAAATTGCAAATTTAACAATTGAATTTGAAACGAGGTTTAATGATTTTAGTTCTCTCGAAGACAAATTTTTTTCTTCGATTCTCTCAAGTATTGACTCAGTACCCAGCCATATGCAAATGGAGGTGATCGAGATTCAATGCAACTCAAATTTGAAAGCAAAATTCATTGAAGTGGGCGTGCCTGAATTTTACAAATATTTACCAGCCAGGTTTGAAAATACTCGAAAATTCGCATATGAAATTATTTCCATGTTTGGTAGCACTTATCGGTGCGAGCAGTCATTTTCAGTCATGAAAGGTAATAAGTCTCCTATTAGAAACCGTATTAATGATGCTCACCTTGGGTCAGCGTTGAAAGTTATCACTGCAAACAAAATTTCTCCTGAAATAGGAAAGATAATAGCAGAGAAGAGATGTCAAGTATCAGGACGTAAACATTAAATTTTTCTTGTTCTTTTCTATATAAATATATATATGTATATGTTTATTATTGTATTATACAAAATAAATCTACGTTTCTATGAATATTGATTTTTTTTTTTTTTGCGGCCTGCCTAAAGTTAAACCTTCTTTGTTTGGCCCAAGTGTACCTATGAGTTTGACATCCCTGCTCTAGATCATTTCGTTACTTTTCTTTTTTTACCTTCTTCCGTTGCCTCTTGGCTTATAAGAAGGGCAGATAAAAGAGCATTCTGTTGAACCAGTAAAACTTTGTGTTGAACTGAAAAAGCCATGACACAAAATAACGAAAACGAGCAGAGTGAGCGCGAGAAATCAATTCAGCTAGAAAACAGCACGCGAAAGGTGTAGACACATTCACGCATGCGCAAATTTAGCTTCTCTCATTGGCCACAAATAAGACCCCCGTCTCGCAGGTGTGAAAGGATGTCCCGTATTTTATGCCCTTATGACTATGCCTCTATGCGCTTTATGCCCACGTCTGAACACACAGATTTGGAGATCGTCAGGTCAAATTTAAAGAAAGGGAAAGGAAATTCTCTTTTAATTGACAGTTTGATATATCATAATGACAAGGTTTCAGGTGAAAAGATATCTCGGTTGATCTTTGGATTATGGTAACTTGGCGATTTTATGGCGAAAATTTGGCGACCAACTCTGCTACAGCAACCCTCTGTTTTTTTTTTTCGCCGCAATTTTGTCTTCACGAAGTAAAGACATGTTTCTTTTCTTTTTATTTACTCAACACTTTTTCCAACAATCTACTAGCCGAATTACACTTATGCTAGAAATTTTATGGAACAAAACTGCTTAATCATGACAAATATTAACTGCAAAATTGGGAAAAAGTGCAGAATCACAAACTCCTTGCCGCGTTTTTCAGAATAGCACATACACATAAACCATGTACACGTCGACTTATTTTTACTTAAAAAAACATCCCAGAATTGCACAAAAATGGAATTGCACACACTCTTGACTTTATCCATCTAAACTGCTTTTTTCTCATAAATTAGAAAAATTTATACGAAAATGCAGGAAAATTTCATGAATCTTTAAACTCGGTAAAAAGCACATATATGAAATTACCTGATAGCAAAAAATTATATACCCTATTCAAGGATGAGCTTTTCCACGTATAATATAAATAAAATATCCTAAAACTTTTACCTCTAAATTATCTATTATAAACGTCACCAACGAATTCATAACAAAACATTAAAAATGGTTACAAATACTTAGTGTCAAATATTTAAATTATTTCCATGCATGTTTATTTTCACTGAAACGTACACCAAATTGCTACAAACATATAATTCACAAAATAACTATCATTTAATTAAAATATAATTAAATTAAAAAAACACTTTAAATATAAATAAGCACATACATTAAATTAATATAAAATTAGCTTACAATCCTAATTACTTTAAACTAAATCATTGCTAATAACAATTTTCCAATAATACCATATTTATTTATTTACTCCTTACATTTAGAACAATGCATAAAAATAATATCCTCAAATAATTAAAAATACTAACTTTCCTAATCTTCTACAGAATCTTGAGTGCATGGCGGATCACAAAATGTCCATTTTCACCAGATTTCTTGCACCGCCATTCAAACTTATCTGTAATATCCTTCCTTTCACACAATCTCATTTCATACCCACATGTTGGACATTCATACTTATCTGCAATTAAGCAATTCTTTTCAATTACACATAAACGCAATAAAAATTTCGGATTTACTTTATATAGGGCCATGGGATCCAAATATTAAACAACACTGTTTCACAGAACATAGAATGAAACTAATGCTGTACAGCAGATATTTTTACAAATTTACCCTCTTTTCTGATTAAAGAACAGTGATTCGTCCATTAATGTCACATGACATAGCTCATGATCTCTCATTTCCCTCACGCGAAATAATGCGTAATCGGAACTGAGTACGTCTCACATTATTCCCAAAGTCCTAGGTAGTAACCTTTATCGCCTCCAAAATGTCGCCAAACTACCTGTTACCATATTCCAAAGATCAGCCGATATCTCAACTGGTATTACCCGCGAAAAGATGCTCAAAAGTTCTTCAATTAGCAACTGAATCAGTCTTCGGTGCACACTTAGGAATTAAGAAGATCAAAGAGAGGATTCGATATAACTTTTATTGGCCTTCCATGGTTAAGAACATTGCGGAATACTGTAAATCTTGTGAAAATTGTCACCTGAGAAATCCGGAAAGAATACACGAGAGAGCACCCATAACCCCATTGTGCAGATCGGATTTGCCATTCGAAGTCATGAACATGGATATTATTGGTCCTATCGATCCACCAACGGGTCGAGGACATAAATATGTGTTATGTGTGATGGATCAGCATACACGATGGCCAGAAGCTATAACTTCTTTGAGTGCTAAGTCTACGTGTGAAGCACTATTGCAAATATTTTCTAGGACAGGAGTACCAAATATAGTAGCAAGCGATCAGGGAACTAATTTTACTTCGGCATTGACCCAGGAATTTCTTAGAAGAATTGGGGCATCCCCAAGATTTTCATGTCCAGGTCATGCAGCTAGTAATGGTTTAATAGAACGATGGAATAGAGTCCTTAAGAATATGTTACATCACGTAATACGAGAAGACCCCAAGAGGATGGGACAAACAAATTCCATTTCTATTATTTGCTTATAGAGAGGTTCCAAACTGCACTACAGGACTCATATGCGGTAATCCTCTTGATTATAGGTGCCATCATTGTGTAGACTCTGTGTGGCATTAATGGTGAACTAAATGATTCACATCAGACTAAGTGGACAGTTTATGTGGTTCTGTGCGACTTGAACTCTGTGAACTATATTGAAATAAGTTACTTTATTCAATATCTGACTAAAAACGCTAAATGGAAGCTTAAAACCACGACAAAAACCCATACCTCTTATTGCTATTTTTGTTGTATTAAATAACCATATCTATCTTTTATATTTTACAGGTTCAGTGGAGATAAGATTTCTCATATGGTTATTGTGTTAAGTATATTTTAATCAAATTTTTAATATTTCATGCTTTGGTATTTATGTTTAGATATGTTATGCTGAGTTAGTGGTATGATATATTATTTGCTATGATTTCTATGAATTATTAGAACTTATTTTTTTTCATGTATTTTATATAGATAATAGTGATTAATCTATTATTGATAATTGTAATGATCAAGGTAGAAATTTGTATTGTATGAAAAATTATTCATGAAATTTATGTGAATTGATGACAGAAATATTTCAATGTATCAGACGGTTATCAGATATGTGATCTTGGGTTTGCACCCCAATCACAATCTTAGGTGGGGGGTGTAATGTCTGATACCTCCCTCCCCCTGGTATTCGAGGGAAATAGTTTGTACAACTCCCTCTGGCCAAAGAATATGCAGAATATAAACTAATACAACTCTTCATACTTTAATATTAACTAAAATGAAATAAACATTAATGAATTGACAGCAAGTTCATTCGTATTTCACACACAATATGTAAAATACTACAGCAAAGAACATATAAATAAGTATGGTAACAATACTTTTTCAGAAAAAATATAGCAAGTTGAAAAAGGTTACCCTTATGCCAAACGTCAAAGAATTAGATTTTGAATACGACTTAAAAATTCAAACAAGTACGTTCATCTAACTAACTAATCTATATTAACCGGCAATTTTGCTATCTAACTTCGCAATACGTAACGATTCAGAGGTTCACGAATGTTCTAGCCGCCAACCGATGCATGCGAAATTTGGACATTTAATTCTGCAATGGCTAAATAATAGCGATGGATGAGCATCATAACAGCACAAGCTGGTTAGAATAGAAGGAGGGAAGGTTCAACTTAAACGGTGAAGTTTGACGGCCGTGTTACTGTTATCACTGTGACTTGCGCAAGGAAGTCTGTAATTGTAACATTTTTTTCACTTTTCTTTTTGAAGCTTGTCAGCTTATATTGCATATGGATGCACAAATAGATTTTCGAAAAATATTCCTGGGATTGCTGTTCACTCGTAAGTATTGATTTTCTTTTTTTTTTATGTAATTTTATAAGTATGTTAAAAAATATCCCAATGTCATGTTGTTTTCTTTCCAGATGTGATAAAAATGACTTAATAATAATCGAAACATGTTAAATAAATTTTAATGTTTTTGCTTACAGCTGGTATATTCGTTCTTTAACATACAATGATATATGCTAGGATTTAAACTGTATAATTTGAACGCTTAGATAATTCGTTTTATAATTTTCATGAAAAGTAAGAAATCAATTGTTACTATTTTTATGAATTGTGAAGGTGTTAAATAAAGCAACGCTTTTCTTTATGTATTAATTACTATTCATTCTTAAGTTTTGTGAACTGTTACGGATATAATTTGTGCATTTGATCAAGATAAACTGTTCTGTTGTTAAAATGTTTTGCATAAGCTTACAAATTTCTGGGCAGTATAGCGATAAATGTAAGTAAAATATTTACACAATTGAACATGTGAAAGATATATCCAAAAATTCATATAGGTATATTTCTGTAATTCAGCTTAATTCAAGGTAATTTCTTTGAGATTCATAAATATGAAACGCGCATCAACATCATTCAAATCATTGAATTCACATAAATCTGTTTTATTTTATTAATATTTATTTTCTTGTTGATATAAGTTGATTATTGGTTGTGAAAAGAATCGATTTAAAACTTTCATTAAAAAAAAAAAAAAAAAAAAAAAGCAACATGTTACCATTTTTTAGATAATTATTTGTTGTTAATTTCAGGTAGAAATGATTCTTTAATAAATTATAATAATATTGCGAATAAATCAGAAATATCACTTCTTAAAGAAACAATTGGAAAGTTGCTAATATAAGTTGCTAATAGAAGTTGCTATTAACCTATTATTTGGATCTTGAAATTATGCAGAATCATAATTTTCAAAGGCTTTAATGTTATGCACATGCATATAGATTTCGAAATATTTCTTAATGATTTTCTGTACTTAGTAAATTACAGATATCATCTTTATAACTTTAAAACAAAAAACAATAGCGAAGCATTTCATTATAAATTTAACATATTTTTACTGGAAAATGCATGCATAGAACAGCTTACAAACACGTATGTTTCACTACCGTATTGCAATGTTTTGAAGTAACAAACATGGACGCTGCTTGTTCCATGGAGTTTCATTCCCCAATAGTGGAGGAAACTGCGAACCCTCCCTCCTTCTATTCTAACCTCCTTGTAACAGCACGAGATGATGTTGACAAAATGACCTTCTAAAATGAACTGAACATTTCAAATATATGTGCCCAATAATTTAAAAAAAAAGTTAATCATAAATTAAACATCTGAAAAATGTTTGTAAATAAATATATCTTTATGCATGGAAGTTCATAACTCCAGCTGGTCTGTTAATTCCTCTATAGGATTTTTGCAAGTTAGATTTAGTTTGATTAGCTAATGATTTCCCTATCAAAAAGAAGAAACGGGATTTATTCGAAGAACAGCCTTGACGCTAAATGTCAGAGAAATAGTCTATTATAGTAGCACAGTATACGGTTTTTATTCAATGACGTACAGTCGGTCACAAAAGTATTCGAACATCTGTACCCAATCAGGAATTAATCGAATTCGTTATTTGAAACTACAAAACGAATGTTCGATCTCTTCATTTTAAATGAATGACCTGTAAAAATCAACCTTGAATCCTTACAAAAACGCGTTTTCTTTTGATCAAGTGAAAGTAATCCATTCCCATTGGACAAAGTTTGGCACAACTTGCGTTTCGTCAAATCTTGGAAAAATTTCTCATTATTTTAAATGGACCTTGCTCTTTTTAAGTGGGAAAATGTTAAGCGAATCTAGAAAAATTAATGGATTCTCTACAATATCTCTCTTTAAAAGAATTACCCGAAACTTGAAAAAGGAAATCAACTCTTTACGATAACTCTCTTTAAAAGAATTAGGCGAATCTTGGATAAAGAAATGAGCTTTCTGTAATATCTCTCTCTAAAAGAATGATACGAAATTTTTAAAAAGAAATGGATTCTACATAATATCTCTCTTTGAAAAATTCTTTGGCCCTGGAAAATGACTTTGAAAAAAATTTCCTATTTAAATTTGAAAGCTATTTGTTTGAACGTTATGAGAAATCATTAGCCAAGATTGGTATATATGTATAATTTTGTCATTGTTATTATCATAAAATTTTGTTTACAATTTTTATGACACTTCTGATAATAATTCAAAAATACAATCCCATAACAATTGACCTTCATCTGGCGTCAATGTTTTCACTAAATCGTCCTATAAATGAGAAGTAGGTCCTGGATGATTTTCTGGATGAGTTTCAACAGGAGGCAAATATTTTTCGGGATAAGATTGCAAAGGTACAGGTGTTTTTTTTATTATTATTTTTTCCCCAGAAGGCTGATCTTCTGGCTGTGGAAGTTCCATCCATTCCTTTCCTGGATGAGTTTGCAAAGGTTCCATGAAATCATCTTCTGAATGATGATGAGTTTGCGGAGATTCCATCAAATGTATTCCCGGATGAGTTTGCAGAGGTTTTATGAAATGATTTTCTGACGACTAAGGGGTCTAGTCTGGACACCGGTCGAGATCGATATCGGAAAACCAGTCGGGATTCTCTTTCCCCTCGACAGCAGAAGGGAGAGCGAGTCTGGCCCCTTCAAATTCCGTCGGCGGAAAGTGAAGTGGAAATTCCGTGCGGAAGTGACGTTTATTGCATAGCGACCAGTCTATCTCACCTCTACATTGCTCCAGGCTCAGGGAAAGGGGGTATTTTGTTGTCAAAGGGGCTGTTTTGCACGTGCTTATTACTGAGGATGGCGGTAGAAAAAAAAATCGAGTTCGAGTAAATGGTGAAATTTTTCAAAAAAATACGCTGCTGGATTTAGTAAAGAGTATGGAAAAAAGAAATGGGGAACGTTAATGGATATTTTAAACGCAGAAAGAAATGGCATTTTCAAAACTTCAGGTATGTGAAGAAACGTAAACTTAATTTTACGTATGATCTTTTGCAAAATGGAAATTTTCTAAAAGGTTACATGTTTGTAAACTATTTGTTAACAGGAATTTTATGATTAAAATACATTATTTTTGTCTGAAAAGGTTATGCAACAACGTCATAAGTCAAATCATTGAAATATAGCACCGCGTACGCGTGTTTAATATTCCTAATGAATTTGAATAAAAAAAATTTAATTTTTAGCAACCCATGATTATATCAATAATTTTATTTATTCAGGAATTATACCTATCACGTAGCTACAAATATACTATGTATCGTAGATACCAATAAGCAGTGAGTAAAAATATAACAAACTTTTAACAAAAGTAATAGGAAGAAAAATAAAAAAAATTAAATAACTATAGGTTAAATCATAAAACATATTATCTTGCACACACACACACACACACATATATATATATTAACATATGCAGTGAAAGGAAATTGCAATACATATTCCTATTTATACCCTTTTTAAATCGATCCCACCAGTGACCGTGTGGTAAAATCGCTGAACACTGGTAGTTCGGTCCGAGGTCCAAATACTGCGAACGGGTTTTTGTTGCATTACCAACATATCTCTGATAACCAATATATCTGTCATTACCAACATATTTCTCGTAATTTCCAAAAGCATAAAAAATTAAGGCATACAAAACCTGTTTTAAATAAATAACTATATGTATATATAAATGTATTATAAATATATTAATATATGCAGTGAAAGGAAATTGCAGTACATATTCCTATTTATGCCCTTTTTAAGTCGATCCCACTAGTGGCCGAGCGGTAAAATCTCCGAACACTGGTAGTGCGGTCCGAGGTTCGAATACCGTGAAAGGGCTGGACGTGAGTGGCTTCATTACCACTGTATCTGTCATTATCAATATATCATTGGTAACTTCCAGAAACATAGAAGTTTAAGGCACATAAAATCTGTTTTAAATATATATATATATAATAATTTATTTCTTAAACAGTATTGATAAATTGATTATATTATCTCCTAAGTTTACCTAAGTTTAATTTATAGTTTTACGTATATATATATATATATATATATAACTGTATGGATATATTAACAAATGCAGTGAAAGAAATTGCAGTACATATATATTTATACCCTTTTTAAATCGATCCCACCAGCGGCCGGTAAAATCGCTGAACACTAGAAGTTCGGTCCAAGGTTGGAATCCCGCGAACGGGCTGGTTGCATGGACGTTTTCGTGGTTTTCCCCATGTGTTACGTGTATACGAGCTAGTTTTCCTTAGAATGTCCTCCACGAAGGCAACCCTCACTTTAGGCAGATAGCCCTCGAGGCTTTGCCGTAATTACATAAAACCAAAACTAAGCACTTTTTTAGATCTGAATAAATATACACAAAACTGATGTAATATCTAAAAGTAGACCACATTAAAAAATCTGATAACTAATTATAAATCTTGCATTATAATATTGACAAGAATTTAACCGAAAATTATACAGGAATTTAACTTGTTTTATACAGGAGATTCTAGAAACTATTGGAAATTGACATTGATATCGGTACAGTTAAAACTACTTAAATAAATTTTTTAACTCAAAGCAATTTAATGTAAATGTTGAATTTAGGATGTGCATAGTTTTGAATTATATACTGCATATAATCTTTAATGCATGTCTAATGTATTACATTTTTATACACTACAAATTCAAATAAAAGTAGAGGGAAATACATTATAATTTAAAACATAAAACAAAATTTCAAAATTTATAAATTACTCATCAAAACATGAAATTAAGTACATTGATATATACATTAGTTTAAAAATTACAATTTTAAATTAAAAGTATGCACCCCTTC